ATATGTTTGTTTATAAATATTTTTTGATTACAAATTATATGATGTTTTCTGAAATGGTATTTTATTGAACTGAATGAATGATTGTCCAATTTCATTATTGCCTGAAGAAATGAGTAGATGATATGAACATCAAGTTTGTTTGTGCAAAATAAAAAATAAACTTTTAAAATTAACATTCTTAATCTTCTTAAACATGTTCTAGTAGCATAAAACTCTCATAATCAACAATAAAACATGAGCTTAAACACTTCAATTTGAAACCCTAACTTTCATCTACATGATTTTCAAAATTTCTTGCCAAAAATCAAGTTTTTCATGCAATATAAAATAGCACATATCTATCTATAAGAGTGTATTGAAGAGAAAAAAAGAAATCTTTACCTCTTGAAGAGAATAGGAGAACCAAGCTCAAAAATTCTCCAATTTGAACTCATCGAAAATTGATCTCCACGGGTCAAAACAACGCCTTCGACACGCTCGTCATTTTGGTCCAAAGGACTAGTATAAAAAACTTGATGAATTTGTTTCGATGAAGAGATTTGTCAATTTTGGTGGAAGTTTAGAGAGAAAGGAATGTAAGAGAAATGAGGAGAAAAAGGGGTGAAATCGGCAGAAAAGGGAGTTGGGCACAAAAAAACAAGAAAAAATGCGGAAGGTTGCACGTGCGAAGGTCCTTGTCACAATGTCCGCACATACGGGGACTCCCCCGCCGCACGTGTGGATCCTTGCAGAGAAGAATCCCCAAGCCTTGCTCTCCTTCCGCACGTGCGGGCCTAATCCACCGCACATACGGAGCCCCACTTCCTCAACCAAAATTGGGCTGCACCAAACCACACGTGTGGACCAGCAGCATGTGTCAGACTGCCTGCTGTGCAAAAAAAATTTCCAAGGCGCTCCCACGCTTATCAGTTTCATCCTTACGCCCGCCTTCTAACTCAGTAAAACGCTAAGAAGGGCTTGATATGGTTCAATTCGCAAGCAGTAACACATCACATGACGCTTAAGGTTCTGAAACTAAAATGACAAGTCCAAATATTCTAATTCAAGTCGGGGCCAAGACCGGGACATCATAACCTCCCCACCTTGAGAAATTTCGTCCTCAAAATTAAGGTAATAAAAGATTAGAATGGTGTAATAACAAATAGACACCAAGGCTCAAGGTGAGACAATCACAAAGAACTACAACCACCAATTCAAATTTTAGATCAATGCTTGAGATAGTTTTCCAAATCACGGCCTCTTATCTTAGTGCCCCAAAGACACCTGAGCAACAAGATAGAAAGATGATGACTTGGTTAGTCACTTCCCGACTCATAGAATAAAAGAAGATTCGGTCAAACAAAAAAAAGTTTTCCCATTACGTATGGGTTCCAGAGCAATAAATCAAATGAATGTAGTCACAAATGCCTCTGCGACCCACAAGAACTCATTAAGGTCTACCAAACTAGAATTCAAATCAAAGGGTTCTATTTGCACACCCAAATTCATTATCCACACCTCAACCACTTACAACACCAAGCAATTTCCGATTGTTCAACCATTCAAACCCAAGATCTACCTGCACTCACTTCAAGAATTTCTCAATCAACTTCACAAAGGGTAGAGGGCTCCACTAAGGAAACCTGGTTCACAAGGATGATTCTCCAGCGCAACAAGTTCCAATAATACTAATCCACTACGAATAAAATACACAACTACATATCCAACAATCCATACTCAAACCATTACACAATACAACCACATGAGGTTAAAGAATTTCTACACATTTTTTTGTCGTAAAAATAAAATCTTCATTTTTCTTTAAAAACTCTTTCCTTGCGTACAAAGAAACTCTTTCAAAACTTTCTCAAAAGGTAAACAAATTCACACCGCGTTCCCATGGAAAGGTTTCCAATTTATTTTATTTTATTTATTTATTATTATTATTTTTTTGTTTTTGTGAAAGTCCAAAGGTTTGCAAACATTTTCTGAAAACAGTTAATTGTTACTCATAACACAACCACGTCCCTTATTTCACAATAACTTTCTTTTTCACAATTAAGTGCGATTTACAACAAGTATATTCTCAATTTAACAATACCATTCAAGGTCACAATATTGTAAAAATTCATTTTTGAATTCCTCACATAACATTACAATCGATGACCCTCAACCATCACTCAATATTACCCATCACTACTATGGTGATGCTATAACTCAATCATAATATCTTCCAAAATAACAATTTATAACAACTACGGTGCTAATAAACAACAATGCACATATACTTATAAATTTTGGGAGTCTCGTCCCATCACAATCATCATCACAACTTGTCAATTACACATTGGCACAATTACAATCACAAAATCAAGATTTCACCACACTATCCCAACTCAAGGAATTTTCTCACGAAATCAAGGTTCCACTATACTACCCAATTCAAAGGATTTTCACATGAAGCATGACGCTTACACAAGCAAAACTCAACACTCTCAGGTGTGATCCAAGACACTCCTTACCCAAAAGCCAAGACAATTTCCGAGGTGACTCCCTGTCGATCCCTTCCCGACACTAACCAACCAACTCAACAAACTCTCTACACTTAGCACCAACACTACACAATTTCGTTCACCCCTACATGGGGTTCGAAACACACTTCCACACCTCCAATGAGTCCACGTCAGACTCCACTAAACTAATCACACTATGACCACTCTCTCCGAACATTTCTCTCTTTTGAAACTCAATCACACCACTCCTATTCTCAAGTCAACCCACTCTAACATTCATGCCTACGTGGCACTTAAAACACTTCACCCCACTCCCAAGAAGACCAATAGTGTCCATGGCAAACTTTCTAATCGTACCAACCCGAATATACTAAATGACTAACACAAACATTATTCTCATTACCAAAGGACACAAGCCTCACACTCGCTTAAGGAACAATCTCAGCACTTCACCAAGAAACTCTCACCACTTTTATATAACTCCAATAGGTCGTGCTTTCTTGCACCATATACATTCAAATAATGCTACTCAATTCTCAAGGCATCTCAATATATAATCACTACAATACACGAATTACCAATTCCAACAAACAATTCTTAATCAAAAGAAGGCTCACAGGCCATCACATGCTCAACCGAACCCACCCATCCATCCCACGGCCATCATCCGACAATCTGAACCCCTCACCATCTCCACGAAAACCCCTCACCATCTCCACGAATTACCATCAAACGCCCTCCTAAGCAACCATCAACTAACCACCATCAACTGCTCAATCAACCAAAGAGAACAAATGAGGGGTAAGGGAAAAGAAGAGGAAGAGAGAGAGAGAGGGAGAGAGAGAGAGAGAGAGAGGAAATAAGAGATTTGCCATCTGTGCCATCATCACCCCCACCCCCCTCCCCCCAAAAGCCACCGTCACCTTTGCATCCATTGTTTGACAGCATCACTATGCTTTTAGCCCTGTTTGGTAGAGCTGTGGGAAAGTGCTTATAGCTTATGCCTAAACAGCTTATAGCTTATAACTTTCAGCTTAAGCTGATTTCCAGCTTATTCTTAAAGCATCTCCTGCTCCACTCAAAGAATAAGCTGATTTTTGACTTCCACAAAGCTATAAGTTATAAGTTATAAGCTAAACCAAACACATCAAAATAGCTTAAATTAAGCTGAAAGCTGAAATAAGCTGTAAATAATTTCTGCCAAACAGGCACTTTATGCTTAGCCCTTTCCCTATCCCAGCCTCACCATTTGCAACCCCTCTCGCACTTACCCGTCACATTGTAGCCCCATGTAGCATCCCAACCCCAACCCCAACCCCAACCCCATTTCTAAAGCACTCCCCTTTAACCCTGTCACCTAAAGCACTCCCCCGTCTCCAATCCTGTTAATTTAGATTTAGTGAGTAAATTTAAAAACTTCATAAGTTATATGGGTAATGGACAAATTGACTATTTTACACTTAGAACACAAGATGTGCCATTCACATGTGCAATTTTCATCAAAAACCCTAACTGCCATTTTTTATTAGATTAAATTGACGTGAAATCTAAAATTGAGGGTCAAAATCAAGCCAAGAGAGAGAGAGAGAGAGAGAGGAAATAAGAGATTTGCCATCTGTGCCATCATCACCCCCACCCCCCTCCCCCCAAAAGCCACCGTCACCTTTGCATCCACTGTTTGACAGCATCACTATGCTTTTATGCTTAGCCCTTTCCCTATCCCAGCCTCACCGTTTGCAACCCCTCTCGCACTTACCCGTCACATTGTAGCCCCATGTAGCATCCCAACCTCAACCCCAACCCCATTTCTAAAGCACTCCCCTTTAACCCTGTCACCTAAAGCCCACCCCCGTCTCCAATCCTGTTAATTTAGATTTAGTGAGTAAATTTAAAAACTTCATAAGTTATATGGGTAATGGACAAATTGACTATTTTACACTTAGAACACAAGATGTGCCATTCACATGTGCAATTTTCATCAAAAACCCTAACTGCCATTTTTTATTAGATTAAATTGACGTGAAATCTAAAATTGAGGGTCAAAATTAAGCCAACTGAAACTATAAAGACAAAAATGACACAAGATACATTCTATAGAGACCTAACGTAATTTGCTCAAACATAAAATTAATTTATACTATTATATAATGTGTACATTTAATTTGGTGTAGACAAATTGTCATGCTTTTTTGATTTTCCAAAATTGCTCCTGAAAAGTAGGCCACATTTTAGACGGCTATAACCGTCATCCATTTTTGTAGATAGAGGAAAAGATCACCACGAAGTGATACTGCAAGAAAATATGGGCTAGTATAATTAATGCTACACCACCCTTCTAGTCTCTTATAAAGCAACTTTACAAGGCCACCTTTGCACCTCCTCTTTCGGGTTCACCTTCAAGAATCAATACTGAAAGTTCATAAAACTACCAAAGGAAGTGCAAACAGCAGCCTCAGATGTGGCAGCAAAACAGTTGTTAATATCAATAATCTGGTATGCCCAGAAGAATTCTGTCCAACTTGTTCCCGCAACTTTCTATATAAAGTTTTGAATTATCAAATGTGAGGCCAAAACAGGCCAAAATTCAACATAACAATTAATTACCCACCAAAACCCTTGTAGAATAACCAATGTTTCAGCTGGTCAACTGTAAATCAAGTATTTGATATATTTCACAGATTGCATGGCTGCTAGACAATAGTGAATACATGGATACAAGATAATGGAATCAATATACATATTTTTATTCTCGCAGGATTTGCTTGCTTTGGATTACTGCACCAAGGCGTAGGAACTATATGAAGACATATCTAGCTCAGCTACGCATACACAGCAATTGCAAGTGGAACATCAATCAATGTACTCAGCAAGTACTAAGTAGGCTGAAAAAAAGGGCTCACAGAATATACAGACACACCTTCTGAAGCGAGCACTGGTGAATAATCTCGTCATACTCCCAAGATGGCATCATCTAATCACCATAATCAATGCCAAAATCAGAGTGAGAACAAAACAGATGTGAAGAAATATAATCACATTTTGTTGCCCAGATGTTCAGCATCTCCCTGCAGATCAGCATGACACACTAGTTCAGATGGAGACAGAGGACATTGACAGAAATTGGATATTTTGATTTAATCAGAAACCGACTTTCCACACTCAAATTTTAAGTGAGTTTAGTTCCAACAGCAGCACTTCTCTATCAAACTCAAACTCAAACTCAAACTCAAACAAGCTTGATCCAATGAGAATGATGAAGGTGAGCTCTTAAGTCTGCAAATTTGGTTAGGGACCTGAATGGATTTGAGTTGATGATTTGATGATGGAGCACAGTTTTGAATTTATCATAGTATAAATTTTCAGAACCAGCCAAGACATGAACATCTCAGATGTGGACAATTAGAACAAAGTTAATAGGAAGGAAAATGCAGGAAAAAAAAAAAAAAAACATTGGGAAAAGAAAGTTATTTTAATATTTCATTACTCAGTATTAAAACTTGTACAGCCACTCAAGAAGAAAATTTAGCAATATACTATTTTTGACAAAACATGCCACAAAAAATTGAACCTAATTATTATATATTTTAAATATTCTATTCATAAAAAAACAGCAATTATGGTAATGTCTGCGAAACTAGCATCTAAAGAATGAAGAGGTGTGTAATATGAGTGGTGAATTGAATCGAGCAGGCATGTCAGCATCAGACATGCATCATATGTTTGATCAAACCTCATTTTTTGTATGCATAATCCACTCAACAGGTCCTAGAAAGTGAACGATTGAGATGATGAAGATAGGCCTGCAAGGGGCACAACAGTGACCCCATTCCCTAACCTACATTCCTTGGAAACCCTTTAATGTCCGACACTTGTCCACAAATAAAAATCAAAGTGTCTAATTTTGGAGGGTTGACCAACTGTTCTGAGGCACTCCCTAGCAATGACATAGCACTCAGGCTAACAAAAGTACTGTGTGCAACACACACGCACTATTTAAGGGGTAAACAAAAAAAACTCTAATGGATATATATATATATATATATATTGGACTAGAGAAGATTTAGTTGACATAATTTTATCATGCATATGAATTTTCTAAACTTATGCTTCTATATTGTATGTTGGTGTATGAAAAATATGTAAAAATGAAATCAGTGTAGATTTCTGTACTGTTATGTCTTGTTGAGTCATGTCCTATTTTTTCTAGATTTTCTGTGCAACATATCCATGTTGTGTCATGTTAGGCACATGTCTAATGTCCTGTTAATGTCAAATGGCCAATGAAAAAATATGCTTAACATTATTCAGTTAATCATCAATGGTCTAACTAGGAATATTTAAGAAGAGTTCCAATTCCTTATGTTTTTTTGTTGAGAGCATGGTTTTATCTGACAAGGCTATTAGAAGTAAGAACAATGAAGAACGCAACAAGCCAAGAAGGATTTAGTATAAGAACTATTGGGATTATGTACAAGGGAGCAATGCTTGGTGCAAGAATAACACTTGGCCTAAGAAGCATGAAAATGCAGGTTTAAATCTAAAGAAAACCACTTCACGTAAACAAGAAGCAGGACAAGAAGTCATACCAACTACATAGTCTACCCTCCAGCACCTCAAATAGATGGGATTACCAAGAGGTAATGACCTCAATGATGAGGTAAAATGCAATTAATATGACTTCAATACATATGAATGGGACAAAAGAATGATAGCCAATATTTTCCAAATGGAGACCTTTTTTGTTATCTTGGATCAAATATCAATACTAGAAAGAATTGCTATTGAAAAAATTCCTGTGAAATCAAGGGGTTAAAAAAAAATACAAAGAGCAATGTGAAATGAAGAAAAACACATTAATGAAATAAACATATTAAACTGAAGATGATAGGAATTTACAATGAGCAATGTGGCAAAAGGTGAATGTGTGGCGGCAATACCAATTAAGGACAATGTAAGAGAAGTTTCATAATTGGATCATGCAGAACCAATACCAAATATTTCACCAATAAGAAATGATCTGATTAAGTTGAAGCCAATATAAAGATGACCAAAAAACTGACGAAAGCAAGGGTTGAAGTTGCAAGGGAAGAAATAGGCCTTCAAGTATTGGGATTTAGGGGGTCAAAGTTGGCAGGTCCAAGAAAACCATGGTTCTGCTGATTTTTCTGGAAAACACAATGATTTATTTGTTTCCTTATTACTATGATTATATCATCCTTGCCATCATCATCATCTTAACAGCATATTTATATATTGAGAAGAATTGCATTGAATAAATTTAGTTCTCCACCAGGCAAGTAGAACCAGGATTTGAGTTGATGATATTGGCCATTAGCTCTGCTCACCAAATAGTTTTAGTCAAGGATTGGTAAAATAAAAATGTCAGCAAATACTAGATAGAATACCTCTAGGCAGCAGGAAGAAGTGCAATCTCAATTTCTTGGAGTGATTTTCCTTTAGTTTCCAACACATTCTTCTTTACAAAAGCCACAGCCATCAAGCAAAATGTAGCAAAGATTGTGTACAGAATTTGCGGCCCAAGTTGCTCCAGCAAGCGCAAAAAGAATAAACCAACAAAAAAATTTATCACCTGTTGAAGATGCCAATTTTCATAAGCAGGAAGGTAGAGAGAGAGAGAGAGAGAGAGAACAAAAAATATTCAGGGGCAGAAAGAAACAAAATTTCATCCAAAGAAGGCCAAACAAAAAAAGCCTATCATATATATAACTTGACTAGGGGAAATTCCAGAAAAATAAAATAAAAATGGAGCGAGATATCAAGATTCAAGATGACACCAATTAACCAGAATTGTAACTAGCAACTGGTACATAATTTTAAAGCATCTTAATATCAATTTTGACAGCACCTTGTATTGTTCATTTCGACAAAAAAATTGTATCCAATTTATAGTAAAACATGAAAATGCCTAAATATCAAATTTTCTATTTTCAGGAGGTCAAACTTCATATTTTCCAATCCAATGTATCAGCCACAGCCAAGTTCTTCAACCAAGTTCATAACTCGTGATTTTGCAGTCTGGAAAGTGATTGTCAGGAAGGAACATTGTAGAAAAAATGAAGTTGCGGTTATTTTCCCATTCAAAAATTTCAAAGAAGAGAAAATGCGAGGGTGGAAGACTAAAATTTGACAAACCATAGCAGAATAAACTGAAAAATTACCCAATGCACAGCCATGCAGACTGCCATTCCCTTTGCCCTGATTCGGCTGGGAAATATTTCTGATAGGAGAAGACCAGGTACTGGCCCAGCACCAAGAGCAAATGTAAAGACAAACCTGCATAAAGAACTTTTATGATCAAGATTATCATAACACTGTTGGAGAGTTTGATTGGCATTATTGGGCCGCTTTCATAAAGCTTAAGCTTCTCAGATTAGTAGTGGGTGAACTAACATGGTATCAAAGCACAAGTTAGGAAAGGTCTTAGTTCATGTCTTTCTGTTTGCATTTATTTCCTATTGGACTTATGAGTCAACTTATTTAGCTTATTTGAATAGAAAAAAGATGGCTAACAGTGTTTGGTTGCAATTTTAGATTTGACTTATTTTACCTTTTCAGCTTATTTAGGCCCCGTTTGGTAGAGCTGTGTGGGAAAGTGATTATAACTTATAGCCTAACAGCTATAACTTATAGCTGTGAACATAAGCTGATTTTTTACTTATAAATTAAGCTTCTCCTCCCCCACTCAAAAAATAAGTTGATTTTTGACTTACAAAAAGCTATAAGTTGTATTGTTAAGTTGAACCAAACACATCAAAATGGCTTAAATTAAGCTAAAAACTGAAATAAGCTGGAAAAGCCCTACCAAACAGGGCCTTAGCCCAAAAAAAGTGAGATTATCTTAAGCTACAATTTGTAGCCTTTTCAGCTTACATAACCTTTAAATACACATGGACAAAAAAAGCCCATGTCTTTTTCCTTTATTATAACTTTTGAGGGCATCTTGGATATTTGCACAACAAAAAAAGCTATGTAACAACTTATTTAACCAAACACGTCAACTTTTTTTCAACAGATTGTAAAAAGTTATACCAAATAGATTTACAACTTATTTTATATCTTTTAAGCTAATAATAATTTAAAAACTTGGAAAATTCGGTAAAAACTCACTCATAATAAAACTTTCATGCATTAAAGACACACAGAAATTTTGCCTCGAGAAGGCCAACACACGCTACTATTATCAAAATATCCTTAGTGACTAATTTCATATTTCAAACTTTAAAATGATATAACTTTTTATCTAAATATAAATTTTTAATAAAATTAGTATTTTTAAAATCCTCTTGTCGAGATATATCAAACAAGATCCATGCTGGCCATGAAATTCGAACCAAAAAACATAATAAAATTTTACTGTCTAATTTTAGCATTAAAACAGTGAAAGACCATCACCATCTCTAAACACTATATTCACTGTAACTGCAACTAGTAGAAATATTAAATAAAAAAAATTATGAAAACAACGTAATGATAATATTAACAAAGTAAAATTGTATTGTGTTAACAAACTAAAATTTCAGCGTGTTAACACACAATATATTATTTATACATATCAAATCTCTACATACATGAACAATTTTTTTAAGATAAGAAAGATAAAGTGGGTCACAACTTCTAAGTCTATTCAATTTTTACTCTAAAAAACTTTCATTTAAACCTTTCATCAAACAATTTTTGCCCACTAACATGCAAGAGTTTTGGTTTACTACAGCACTAAGAAAATCTCCAACAACTATTCTTTGCCTGAGAAACAATATCATCAACTAGGAGCTACCAGCAATATGTGATGTTTCATACGTATCTTTCTCATATGATGTTCAACAGACAGTTAGCTTGAAATCCCTCTTCAATTGGGTAGATTGTTGGTCCACCATCATTGTTTGATATGCATGAGGGTAAATTTGTCTACAATATTTAACATGTATTTTGTGTCCTTCATGTATAAATAAAAGCACTTCATGCATTAAAGGCTAACTTATAAGTGATACCAAACGAGACAAGACCATTATGTTTCTTTACATGTTTGAATATTTGCATGTTCATGTGCAAGATAGGGTTGCATGTAACAGAGTGTTGGAGAGCTTGATTCCATTTCCTAACAACTTAAGCTTTTGAAGCTAGTGGTGATCTAACAAACTCCTATCATATTTTTTTGCTCCCTTCAGCGGTCTTACAAACTATAGTCATGTAAAGGAGGTTTAAGCAAATTACAATTTACAAATGAAGGACTACTTAGGGCTAACTCAATTCCTAAGTTTGCAACGGGTTTTGCAGCTAATCCATGGCTATTTTCCATATACCAATTGATGGGGAATGGAAAGGGATTGGTGAAGAAATAGGATTTAATAATTAAGCCAGAAGCTAAACATCATCTCCAGTGACCCATTATCATAGAACTATCATTGTCATCGAATTCGAGTCTTCTCTAGTGGCTTTTGTCATCGACTCTGAACCTCTCTCTCTGTTGTTGAGTCTGTTGCTCCTCATCAACCTTAGGGCATCGATGTAGGAAGTTTGAAGAAGATGAGTGTTCAATAGAAGATTATAACTTGACCCCTCCAACATATCCAACCTCTACCCACCTCACTTAAATTAGTCCAGCCAAGCCATTAACCGTAGAACCGTCCCAGCAAACTTGATCCAACCCATTCTCCTAACCATTTTGACACCCATAACCTATGACCTAAATTAACCAGCCCACAAACATTCAGTAGTAGTCTGAAACCTGTCAACGTTTCCCTAACCCAGTCAACCTATAGCCTAGTTCACTTAAGCCCATTAGGTTTGATCTGAAACAATACTCAATCCCAACCAAACCCAATAAGCTCAAAGAGCAGCTGGAAAAAAACGAAAACGAGAGAAAAAAAAAAGGAAAAAATATTGGAGCTCTTGGATTTCAAGTTTAGGATGTATTGATCTTGGAGTATCAAAGGACAACTTGGACTTTGAAAAGGGTATGCAAGTCCATTAGAAAATTGTAATTAATATCTTGACTTCGATGAAAGTTTGTAACAACTACAAGAAGTCCACAAATTTTTTATTCTTTTTCATTCTCCAACTAAAAAATCAAACAACTTGTCAACTTATTTCTTTGCTTCTTTGTCTATTGCATACATCATTATTTTAAATCAAACTTGAGTCCGTTCAACTGTCTCCCATGAGTTTCTTCGAGGAGTTTGAGGAAATGGTTGGGCACCTTCATACTTAATGTGATGCGATATATTACTCCCACCCCTTCCGATACCGAGGCTTGGCAACACATTAGTATTTTTCATACTTTTATTCAATGTGAATAAAAGTTGTAAGCCTGTTATTGATGGGGGTAGTTCCATTAATATTGCGTCCAAGTTCGCTATCGCTAGGTTCAAGCTTAAGCCAGAACCTCATCCTCAGCCATATAAGGTTGCATGGATACATAAGACATTTTTACTTGTTTTTTAGTGTTATAATGCTCACTCAGTTGGGTAGTTATTCAGCCAAAATTATGTTTGATGTCTTACCCATGAATTTAGCTCATGTTCTCCTAGATCGTCCTCAGATTTATGATGTAGAAGCCCTGCATTTCAGTAGAGATAATGGTAATACCTATGTTTTTAAGCATGGTCACTGTAGACACCCATTTTGACCAATCCTAGGACTTAGGCATCTCCGAATTCCAATGACAAAAGAGTGACATTTCTAACACAATGGTGCTCTTAGAACTTCAATGGACTTTCCAAAATAATTTTTCAAAATGAGGTGACCATTCCTGCATTTAATCAATTTTTAATTGCCAAATTTTAATAAATATCCACAGTTAAATATTTTTTTGATAAAAGGGCAAATTTAAAGTTGATTTAATGGATGAGAGTGGGCAAAATTGCGCACAATAAATTCTGCAGCCCAAATAAAGTGGAGTCCGCACACTGCTAGTGGACATTTTTGCTCTCCCCTTTCGGAATAATTCTCCATATATTTTTTGGTTTTGGGATCAATTGAATAGTCGAACGGATTTCTTAGTAGTCATTCGAAATCACCAATTCAAAGCAATAATGGCCCTGTTTGGTAGAGCTGTGGAAAAGTGCTTTTAGTTTATGCCTAAACAGCTTATAACTTATAACTATGAACATAAGTTGATTTCTTACTTATAAATTAAGCATCTCCTACCCCACTCAAAGAATAAGCTGATTTCTGACTTCCAAAAAGCTATAAGTTATAAGCTATAAGCTAAACCAAACACATCAAAATAACTTAAATTAAGCTGAAAGCTGAAATAAGCAGCTTTTAAGCTGCACCAAACAGGCACAATATTCTATTCAGGCCAGTTCAGTTTCTTGAGTACTATGTTACTAGTATAAATCCATCAAAGAATTCAAACAAATTCATACAACCACAAAGTTTGGAGCCCTAAGAAGAAAATATTTCTTTTAAAAAGAGATTGTGAATTCTTTGAAGGAAAATTTTGGTTTTCATGATACAAGCCTCATTCATCCAATTATGTGGTTACTTTTGATAGTGTCAAAAAAATGTTTTACTTTTGTGGCAGGGCTGTTTAGAGTCCATTTTTATTATGGCCCACTCAAATGGATTTAATGACAAAAAAATTGTTAAGCTGCCATTAACTTAGCAGCCATTTTCATTTTCAAAATTTATTTTCTTTTTATTTTCTTCTATGAAAATAGGAAGGAAGGGGCTATAGAAAGCCCAGAAACTCATTGTTATAGGACAGGTCAGGACTAGTTGCATTTTGGAATTAAGTTACTATGAAATGACTGAATGATCCATTTATAAGAATTAACTGCTTCTAAAACATTTTGATGATCACCGAGTTGCAAAGTGGTTGACTACTCACAGCAGTATGCCGCCAACTGATAGGTACACCGCCCCAGAGTCTGATACAATAGAACTGGCTGCAGCCACTTGAACACCCATCGACACTGCCTGAACCAATCAAGTGAGCAAACCAAAGGTCAGATAAAATATCAAAAAAGTTGTTTTTGAGGAAGTGCAGAAGGCTGGAGTTAACCCAAAACGAGACAATGTGCTTATCAGCACAACCACCATGCAGCTCCAGGAAAATATGCAGAGTGGACCACTGGACCATTTGACAGTAACCATTCAGAAAAATCATATTAAAAATGAATATATAGCCTTTGCAGTACAATGTTGGAGATTCTTGCAGTCACAAATCACAGTCTTCCATGTCACCCAAACTTAGACTTAACAACCCCATTATATCAGTAAAGTATTCAAACATTCCCTAATACTAATGATGCATGTAAACCACATCTAAATCCAAGGAGGTATTACGTTGTATCGTTGAGAAGTGCTAACAATTCTCATAACAAATGAAGAAAGGTTTTGAATAAAACATTGACTACAAACTTGAGCATTATTTGTGTTCACTCATAAGTAATAACTGATCCTTCCTAGTTTATCCATTAAAATCATAGCAATAACTGATCCTACATAAGTAACCAAAAAAAAACTGATAAAGAAATAGTTAACTAGAGTTTTAAAATGCATGAGATACTTGAGAGTAAAGACACATTACCTGATAAATTTGCAATTCCGACACATATGTTTGCAATGTCTGAAGGTACTCCTACACTTCTAAAGACGGCAGAAGAGAAATAGAACACAGCATTTATACCGGATAATTGTTGCAAAGCAAAAAGGGTAGACCCAATAAAAACAACTGGAAAAGAAGTGATTAATATATCATTTAAAAAGCAAACAAATAAACATCATGCTGAACAAATGATAATTATAAAATAAAATAAAATAAATTTTTAAAAAAATGACAGTGTAATTAATGAGCATATGTACCTTTAAAGTGGCGGCCATAGAATAATTCTGAAAATTTTACAGCATCTGCCTCATCCCCTCTGTCCGATTTTGACAACTCTGACACTGCAGATTTGAAATGTGATCCTCCTAAAAGCTTCTCAAATTCAATCTCAGCTTCAGCAATTCTTCCTCTCTGAGCTAAGCCAAGCAGCAATTTTAAGTGAAAATCAATGAAGAAAGGGACAATGAAATATTTTTGAGCTCTAAGAAAAAGTAATAATGCACCAAAGTGGAATCATGGTAATTGATTAGCAATTTGATTCAAAATTGTAACTGATTGGAGAAAGGAAAGAAGCATCTTCAAGGGGAAATGAACAATTGCACCGAGCAGATCAAAGGTCAAGAGTGGAAAGCAAGAAACTCACAGGGATTGAAAACATTAAAGACAGAAATTAATTAAGTTCTGGATCTATTCTGAATATTTCAATTGTGCTAAAGATTCAAAACCCAATTTTCATTTACCAAAATGGAACAAATTCAAAGGATTTAGTTACCTAAAACAAGTTCATAGGACTTAAAACAACAAAAAAAAATAGTGGAATATGTTTACAATTGAATATCTCTAAACCACTGCATTCTGCAGATATTTCAGCTCTTCATGGAATATTTGAGTCAAGTTATACATAGTTTGCAAGCACAAAAAATAATATTTCTATGGAAGGCAGTCTGAGGTAAAAAATAATTGTGCAATGTCTCAACATAGTGCTGTTTAAAGCCCACCTCAGAACCCAATCCTAATAGGATCCTAATCCGAGAATAGTTATATATTGAACAGACTACTAAACTAGTTATTCAAGTCCAGATACAGATCATGAAATTTAATCACTTGCAAATCAAATTCCATTCTACATGAAGATCAGATTAAATATATTATCTATAATAGATTTATGCGCAGCAGTCGGTATCATGAATGTAAGGTATGGGCGTATAAGTCAGTAGGAACACATTATGTCGCTCCCCTATAGCATAGATAACGAAATTTGGATTTGGAATGGATTTATGTCTAGATCAATACAAATCAAATTTGTCAAGAGCCTTATGCAATATGGAGTATCAATATTGCATTCAAGCACAAGAAACTAAATGTGGTGGACACACGAGAGCAACTAACCTTAAAAAGCCAATGAGGACTCTCTGCACAGAATTCCATTAAAACAGCAAGTACTGCAGCAGGAATGGCAGATACCCAAAAACACACTCGCCACCTGTGCACATGATCAAGATATTTATAGTTATTAGTCAATAATATAATCCAATCAAACAACCAACAGAACAACATGCCTTGAGCAGGTCTTGACAAATTATGTATATTCCAATATGGTTGTATGTCATGCCATGCATCTTACCAACCCACAATATCCTTCGCTGGGATACCTATGAATAGAGCCCCCATAAGTCCAAGACATGTTGCAATTTGAGTGAAGCTCCCATAAGTACCCCTTACAAAGGCTGGTGAAACCTGTTCATGAAGGCAAAGGATAATCAGGTAAATATGAGCACACCAACAATGGAACTAAGCAATGCCAACTTATGCCCACAATTAAAACAAACTAAACATCATTGCATTTACCTCTGATACATAGAGAGCTGCAACAGGTGGGCCGAGACCCATTCCAGTTCCAACAAAAAACCTCCCAAGAAGCATGCCCCCAAGAGTATTTGTGGTGGCACTGAAAGTATCAAGGTTGAATATCCTTTCGGTGAGTGTCATGCATAAAACTTTAAAAGAGCAAGGAAGCATGACTACAAACATGAATTCAGAAACTCTCCATTATACAGGAGTTGGTGGTGCCGAGTTAACTGATAATGTATATCAGCCATCATTTCTTAAGCATACAGCACAGCATGAAGTGTGTGTATGTATAATATTTTCCAACCTTATTTTCAATAATGAAGAGGCAAAAATAATGCTTAAGTTTGAGTGAACACAAGGGCTGAGACCCATTCCAGTTCCAACAAAAAACCTCCCAAGAAGCATGCCCCCAAGAGTATTTGTGGTGGCACTGAAAGTATCAAGGTTGAATATCCTTTCGGTGAGTGTCATGCATAAAACTTTAAAAGAGCAAGGAAGCATGACTACAGACATGAATTCAGAAACTCTCCATTTTACAGGAGTTGGTGGTGCCGAGTTAATTGATAATGTATATCAGCCTTCATTTCTTAAGCATACAGCACAGCATGAAGTGTGTGTATGTATAATATTTTCCAACCTTATTTTCAATAATGAAAAGGCAAAAATAATGCTTAAGTTTGAGTGAACACAAATAAAGTACATGTCTATAGTAGCAAAAGAAAAACCTTCATGGTTTTATTTCTTATATGTAGTAATTTGACGAGTCTCTTATATCTCAAGTGTGTGTAAAACTAAGTGCTTGTTTCTACGAGTCTCTTATATCTCAAGTGTGTAAAACTAGGTGCCTGTTTCTCTCTCTATATATATACACCAACACCCTTGCTATTAAATTTCATGTGTCAGAAAGTAAAATGATATGATAATAAACTCATACAACAAAAGGTATACCACTTATTAGCCAAAATCCAAGCAAGATGACATATCAAGTTGTGGGTATCTATATCGTGCTTGGCACGTGGCGACTCACGCCATCATCATCACACATCCACGTGACAGACCCCTGAGGCACCACAATGAGTTGGGGTTGTATACCTAGCCTAAGCGGGGGCATGCACACCACCAAGTATGAAAACAGGACCACAGCTCACCTAGAGCTCTCTATGGCGCTTCATGACTCATAAGAAATATATTTTTTACCCACTCACCCCAGCTTCATAGCAACATAGTTGGACCCTTGGCTCACCTATGTTTACTTAGCTGCTTAGGATGAGCCCTTGGCTTACCCATGCACTCACCTCCTTAGCTACCTAAGTTGGGAGCAGAACCTAGGCACTCTAGCTTGGGTTCATTGGAGGATTATGGATTGGAGGCTAAAACCTCGGGATCGTCAAGGTCGTGTAACTGTCTCCCTGCAGTGACAGTTCCAGCTTGACCTAGCTTAGAGAAAGGGGACGTTGACCTTACAATTACACCTATTGCATATATGATACGCCTCTCAAGATATCATACCTACACCTGCAGCTCCTATGATGCAACCAAAGGACTTGAATCATAGGACACAACTAGTAGGGCAGATATCACCCTCCTGTTGAGTCAAGGAGAACTTGCCACCTAAGGTTGCTTGGAGTCCAATACTCCTGGAGTCTGGTATCATAAGTGCAGTCACAATCATAACAAGAGCAACAAGAATCATAACAACACCACATACACTAAGTGTTCAAGGTCTCTCACTACCACCTCTTTTCTCTCTAAGCCTGTCTTGGTCTTCTCCTCTTCCACCTCCAGTGATCTCAAGCCATTGAAGTGTCCGCCGTCTTCCCAGAGGTCAATGATCGATCACCTCTAATCTCTCTCACCCACATTATACTCCACTGGGGAAGAGTGGTGCTCACTTCACATGGCACCCAAAAAGAACACCAGAACTGACACAGTGACATCCCAAGGTGGCAGTAGGGAGACTCTGGTGAAGACGTCAGAACACAACCTTGACAGCTTGCCGGAGGAACAATCCTCTCAACTGGCCATAGTGGAGCAGCTACGTGCATTGACTAAGAGTGTCACCTCTCTTCAACAGAACCAGCAACTCTTGATGGATGCCCTACTAGCCTTGCAAAGGGCACCTACACTTCCATCATCATCTAACCCCCTTTTATCATCACAGAATGCCACTCCGCAAATAGCTCAAAATGGCTTAGAGGCCAATCCCACTCCACAAAACAACTTGCAAACCCAAGCGGGCAGACAAACAACCGCCCCGCTCCCTCCATCGGCTCTAAGCCAAGTACCTCCACCACAAGTCGGTTCAGTCGCCATAACTCCCACCCCAGTGGCTTCAACTTGCTCTCCAACTCTTTCGCCAGACCAAACTCCTTCAACCCAACAATTAACATTGGACGTAGTGAAAGAACACATACATAGTTTACTTCAAATGAACAAAGATTACATCCTTGCCTCTCCAGAATTGGACCTCCGTCCCTCTTACCCTATTTACATTGCAAGTCTCCCATATCCAGTAGGATACACTGTACCCAAGTTTGTCCGTTTCGATGGATGAAAATGGAATGCTAGGGAGCACGTTTCGCGCTTTCTTGATGCTCTTGGTGCTCACCGAGAAGACCGAAACCTCCATATGAGAGAGTTCTCCAAATCCTTCACAAACCAGGCATTCTCATGGTATGTTAACCTCACGCTGGCTCTATCTCTTCGTGGGAGGACTTGGTGAAAAAGTTCTATATCGAGTTCTTCTATGTTGAAGAAAGGCTAGCCACCCTTCATCTTATGAGAAAAACACGACTTGGAGAGGACATCCTTGCTTTTGTCCACCGCTTCAGAGAAAAAGCAGTAAACATTCAAGACCCGATGGAAGAACATCAACTGGTGTCAATGTGCATCATCAAAGGGACGCTCACGACTTACAAACTCCAATTGGTCAACCACTCACTTCCCTAACTTTTCTGCTCTGTGCTGCAGCTCGGCACATAAGTGAAACAGTAAGATCAAGGGCACGAATGGCAGCATAGCAGCCCCGCTGATAAAGGCCGACGACACCTCAACCTTCCTCATGGAGGCCTAACTGACGCAACCATGCAATATATGCAATCAAAGACTTCTCTAGAAGAAGAGAAAATCCCCAAGCAAAAAAGAGAGAATTTGATCGAGTTTCCCGCCTCTGCCTGTCTCGATAGACGAGGCACAAGCACTCCTCAACGTTGAGTAGAAGATGGAAAAGTTCACCCCCCTAAGCCAAGGCAACCTGTCACCAAAAAGGATCGAGCATGAGCAGATTATTACATATACGACCGTTCCATCAAACATCCTACCGTAGAATGTTGGGTGCTTAGATCCCTAGTTCGAAAGATGATGGCTAACAACACTTTGAAGCTACCCCGTCAGACGGAAGATGTCTTGAAAGATCTTCTCCTCTGTCACAAAGACAACGGCAAGACGGTCAAGATGCTTTCATATTATGACGAGATGGAAGAACCAATGGTGTGCAAACTCTTTAAGCTAGCGGCTCCCACTTGTCTAATATGGCGGGCCAAGTTCCTGGCTACCCCAACATGGCGGAAACCAATGAAGAAGAGCTCTCTCTATAGCTGACTCCTAATTCTTAGAGAGTTAGCTCCCCAACAAAATAGAGCTCTCTAATTTCTTGGCTCACCAATGTGTATAGCTCTAAATACACTATTATTAGTTTTGGCTCCCACGTGGTGATTGCTCCTAAATATTTTATTATTATAATTGTTAGAGCTCCCCAACTCCACCTCTTATGAGTGAGCTCTCCAATTTTATGGTTCTCCAAGATGGCATGGTGATAGCTCCTAGCTCCTAAATATATTATTATTAATTTTTAGAGCTCCCCAATTCTATAGTTCTCCAACAAAGTAGAACTCTCCAACTTCATAGCTCTCCAGGATGACGGAGACCTGGAGAGCCATGAAGTTGACCTCTCCCTAGAGTTGGCTCTTAATTCCTAACTCCAGCTCTCCTAAGTGAGCTCTCTAATTTTATGGTTCTCCAAGATGGCATGGTGATAGCTCCTAGCTCCTAAATATATTGTTATTAATTTGTAGAGCTCCCCAATTCTATAGTTCCCCAACAAAGTAGAGCTCTCTAACTTCATGGCTCTCTAGCATGGGGGAGACTAATGAAATAGAGCTCTCCAACTTCATGGCTCTCCAGGATGGCAAAGACCAACAAAATAGAGCTCTCCTTAATAGAGCTGGCTCCCAATTTTCTCATCAAATTTGCTAAGTGCCCAAAGCAGAGAAGTCAACAAAAAGTGATGCCCACGTGGTGATAGCTCCAAATATACTTTTATTAATTTTTGAGCTCACAAATTTCCTGGCTCTCCAACATGGCGGAGACCAATGAAAGAGAGCGTTCCTTAGAGCTGGCTCCTAATTCTTGGCTCTCTGAGTTAGCTCTCCAACAAAGTAGAGCTCTCCTATTTTCACGGCTCTCCAACAAAGTAGAGCTCTCCAATTTCTTGGCTCACCAATGTGGATAGCTCTAAATATATTATTATTAATTTTTAAAGCTATCCAAAAATGACATTTTTGTTTTCTTATTTCTTGGCTCCCTAATTTCGGCTCCCCAACATATTAGAGGCCGATGAAGAAGAACTCTCTTTAGTAGAGCTAGGTGATAGCCTTACATATTTTATTATTAATTCTTAGAGCTCTCCAATTTCATAGCTCTCCAACAAAGTAGAGCTCTCAAATTTCATGGCTCTCCAAGATGGCAGAGACTAATGAAGTAGAGCTCTCCTTAGCAAAGCTGGCTCATAAGTTTCTCATCAAAATTTGGCTAAGTCTCCAAAAAGCGAAGTCAACAAAAAGAGTGGAGCCCACATGGTGATAGCTCGAAATATATTCTTATTAATTTTTCGGCACTTCAATGTGGTGATAACTCTAAATACATTTTAGAGCTCTCCAATTTCATAGCTCTCCAACAAATTAGAGCTCTCTAATTTCATAGCTCTCCAAGAATGGTGGAGACCAATAAAGTAGAGCTCTCCTTAGAGCTGGCTCCTAAGTTTCTACTAGGTCACCAAAAAGTGGAGCCCATGTGGTGATAGCTCCAAATATATTCTTATAATTTTTGGGCTCACCAATTTCTTGGCTCTCCAATCCAACAAAGTAAGGCTCTCCTAAGTAGAGCTAGCTCCAAGATGGTAAAGGCCAATGAAGTAGAGCTCTCCTTTGTAAAGCTAGCTCACCAATTTCTTCGCTCTCCAACAAAGTGGAGCTCTCCTTAGTAGAGCTAACTTCTAAACTTTCTCATCAATTTTTGGCCAAGTTAACAAAAGATAGAGCCCATGTGGTGGTAGAGCTCTCTTGGTAGAGCTAGCTCCAAATACATCTTTATCAATTTTTCGGCTCACCAATTTCTTGGCTCTCTACCCACCCAAAAAAAATTTCTTGGCTCTCCAATAAAGTAGAGCTCTCCTAAGTGCTAGCTCTCCTATGTAGAGCTAGCTCCAATATGGTAGAGACCAATGAAGTAGAGCTCTTCTTAGATCTAACTCTTGAATTTTTTCATCAAGTTTGACAAAGTCACCAAAGGGGTAAAGTCAATAAAAGATATCCCATGTGGTTATATAGGCTGTAGTACCCTTGAACCCATTAGTTTTTCTTCTTCATCAGAAGGTAGGGGTAGGCTTTCAAGGCAAAAAAAGAAAAAGGCTACTCATGATCATGGAGTTCCGTAACAAAATAAGTTCTCAATGGATCCAACATGCAGTAGGTGTACCTCTTCTGTCCATCTTTTTCACAGAAGGAACAGAATAGCAAGCAGAGAGGCAAAAAAAAAATTGGGGGGAATCACTTAATAGTGGGACAGAAAAAAATTAATTACACAAACATTGGTGGTGCAACTCATCTTGTGATGGGGTACAACTCAAACTCTGTGTGCAACTCCTTGCTTGTAATTTTTTTTTTTTTAATGTCCCACTGTTGAGTGATTCCCCAAAAAAATTAACCAGGCATCAAGGGGAAGGAGTTAATCATAAGGCTTCCATTCTTTTTTTCTTTTTGGTTGCGGGGCTTATAGAAGAAGAGCAGTTCGCAAGGCCACATGCATTCACTTCCTTGATTGATCAGAACAAGACAGTATCATCTATGAGCTGCTAAACATACAAACAAGTACGAAAGTACACAAAGTCTCTAGGAAAAGAAGCCAAATGCCATACCCCCATGTAAAATAACATCATATGAAACCAAGTTAATCGATTTCTCAACACAACCCACCCCCCTCCCCATGCCACCAAAAGCAAATGAAAATTTTAATTTTATCCGAGAGTGAATAGATGCTCCCAACCTCGAATTTAAAAAAATAAAATAAATAAATAAACATAAAGAAGAAGAAAGGTGCCACCATGCCAGGCAATTAGAATGATAAGAAGCTAGGATGTGCATTCTATTGCAATTACCTCATTGAGGCCCCAATTATCATTGGTAAAGCACACAATTGAAATGCCCTTCGGCGTCCAACCCCATCAGCAATCCAACCACTGAATAAAGATCCAACAAAGGCACCGCCTAAACATGTACTCACAACTAGACCTTCATTTGAGGAAAATAACTCATTCAATAGAAATTCACATAAGAAAAATAGAAACGTATATTAGAAAGAAAAATCCACATTTACAATACCTTCAGCAATGGTATTCCCACTGAAACCCAAGTCCATAGATATGCTTTCTAGTGTGTCATTAACCACCCTAAATAAAGAAAAAAAACAAACAACAATATCTTATATTTCAATTTCTCACTCCTCAACCATCTAAAATAAAGTGAAAAAGAAAAAAATATCAAGTTTTAAAGATTTGGAACACACCCAAGATGGTAACCAAATAAGAAGGATGAAAAGGTTGCAACAAGTACATGAGGCAGAGAATGCTTCCACGAAGGATTTCCCGTTTCTTTCCCAATGCCATTATGCAAGCGGCCTGGAGCCCATATGAGGAATCAACTCAACCCTCAAATGTCATTCATATTCACATAAACCACTCTAGTGAAGGAGACAAGGAGCTCACGCCACATTAATAAAAATGTATAAGATGCTGGAAGCAATGATATGCATGCATGTGTCATGCAGTTATATTTAATCTCACTAGATTTTTCTTTTGCTTTCTTTACTTATAAGTTTATTCCTTCACCAACCACTATTATTTTAATCTATCAAAGTGGAAGTACACCACGCAATGTTTCCCAATTGTAACGCCAGATTGTTTTTAAAAAAAAAAGTATATTCATAAGTAGATATCATATAAGAAGTTCATAGATGATTTTCCTAATTTTTCCGTAAGTCTGATATAATATAAGAACAATTTGGCGAAGAACATAAGCTAAATTGGTTTAGGGAATTGAAGCCCAGCACTGCGTGAAATCACGATTATCTACAAAGACCAGATCGTGCAAGAAATTAGAAATACGAATACCGTCATCATCTCTGTAGTGGCCATTGATATGGTCCTTTGACGACACACGTTTGTACATGGAGGAAGCATCTCGTTTACGCCCCCACATTCCGAAATATGATAAAATATTCTGTAATTAGCCTGCCACACCAGACCAACCAATTGTCCATCAATTATCAATTATTCCTAATTCCGCAAAGAATCTTCTTTTTTAAATAAAATTCAAATATTATTATATATTTCATGAAATGAAATCAGATTTTGCGCCAGAAGGTAGACAATATCCACATTTAGAATTGAAATTCGGCGCAATTGGCTGATTATTATTATACATATAATAGTATTAGTGACAAACAAGATTTAATCATAATAAAATAAAGCAGAGCATTTCACATGGACACATTATTTTAAATCAACAACAGTTGATCAATACAAACACTACCGCCGAACAAATTGCTATCTGGTCGATTTAAATAATATAAATAAATAGAGAGATCTACTAAGAAACTCATGCATAACAAGAAAATCGAAAACGATACTTCCAATTCTGTATTGTCTACAACTATAAACATGATTACACATATACCTCTGTGTAAATGTAGAGACGAAGAGAAGAGAGGAATTGAAGTTCATTACCTAGCGCGAGAGTTGAGTGATGAAATGCAGCCGAAACAGATCTGAAACTCGAAGAGAGAGAGCAAGATCTGGAAATATAAGCAAAAACAACAGGCTAACATGCGCTGGGGGTTCGAAAGTGATTGAGGTCGCCAACTGAATCAGAAAACGAAATTCAAGCGAAAATCTCGATGTTTCTCTCTCTCTCTCTCTCTCTCTCATTAACACTCTCTCTCTCTCCCACTCACTTTGATTATGGAGGAAGCAACACATTAGGATTGATTATGGAATCCGTGAAATTCGTAATCTGATCTAATTTAGTCTAATTTGATAAGTTTAGATTGGTTTTTTAAATTTGTGGTTCAGTTTCAGATTGAAGAATTAAAATTTCGTAGTACACGAATTGGTTCTGGATTGAACCCTATGGTTTTGGTTTGGAACCGATCCGGACCGTATGTAAATAGTCTATATTTTTATTATACATCCTCCCTCATAGTATCTTTTCTTATTCTATATAAAACCTAAACTTAAACGTAAACCTGTATAATATATTTTTTTATTACTTTTGTTCGTTAGTTTTTAGTTTTAATTTGTAATTGTCTAAATTTTTATGATGAAACTAGTTTTCTTATGGTTGTTTAAATTTTAGAACAATATGTTGCTATTATAGAAAAACATGTTGCTATTGTGAAACTAATATAGCATTATGTTTATGTTTTGACCCATGATAGAGATCCTCTCCAATCACCACTCCCAACACCCCACACACGCGTGACGGATGGTGATTAGAGGAGTAAGAAAAAAAAAGAAAAAGAAAAAGAAAATGTAACCAATGAGAGAGAAAGGGGGTCAAAGGGGTGGAGGAAAAGGGGGCATTTCAATTGTGAGTTCCAATAAATTTAACAAAGCTAAAGTTCAAATCCCTATAAAAAAATATATATTTTACTATACTATACTTAATTAATATAATAACGGGCTAGGCTAGGTTGAAATTATAAATTTCAAATCCAGTCCATTAATATATCGAGCTGAAAATATTAGTTCAGTCCAATCCTATTGACTAAAATAACATTCCCACGACCTAAAAAAATAAAACTGAACCACTATGTGTTGAGGTTCCAATCTTGTGTCTCATGGAAATTCCATGGTAGCATTTGGTCGAATTTTAAAATTATGATAGAGTTGTATTTTGAGTTTGTGACTTTTGAAATTATGATTTGAGTATGAAAAATTTGTTTGGTTATAAGTTTTGAAAAGCGTTTTGAATTGAGTTTGAAATGAATGATGTGACATATAATATTTGATTTAAAAACTTACAACACATAACCAAACATACAACCTAAAATTCTATTCAAAGCTCATAAAAAAAAATTTAAAAATTCTGAAAATATTTTTTATTTAAAATATAAAAATAACAGGTGAAAAAAAAAAACTGAATACTGTTCCGGTCAACCGGTCGACCGTCCAAGGGGATGACCGAGTAGACATATTTTGAAAAGTGGATGTGAAATCAAATTTTGAAAGCGCTAACCAAACACGACACTCAAAGCAAAGGATGAAACTAGGATTCCAGAACTCTACCAAATAGAACCTATGATTTTCCATTTATCTCTCCACATGTGACTCACCTTTTTGTTTTGGAAGTTTAATGTAACGTTTGGTAGAATTTTCTAAATATGATTTAAGAATAGAATTGTATTTTGAGTTTGTGAGTTTTAAAATTATGATTTGAGTGTAAAAAATTTATTTGGTTTTAAGTTTTGAATTGAATTTTGAATATTTTGATATGACATGTGAAATAAGAAAATTTGTTTGGTTATGAGTTTTGGAAAGAATTTTCAACACTTAATTCAAATTGTTATAACTCATAACTAAACACACTACTCAAAACTCTATTGAAAATTCTGATCAACATTCATAACCAAATTCTTTTTAAAATTCAATTAAAAAATTAATTATTAACAAAAAAATAACATTAATCAAAATTTTTAATTGAAAATATAACAAAGGAATTTTTTTTTCAAAATAAATATTCAATTACTGATTTAAAATAACTTTTATTGTATATTTGGTTCAAATTATTATTTTTAAATACTTTTTATTTAAAATATAAAAAATATATTATTTTTGTTAAAAAAATCAAAAACAAATTCCCTTTAATAAAATGTTCCAGTCAATCGGCCGAACATCCGGGGAGACGTTCGGGAGAACAGTCGGGTAGACTAAAATCGCTTTTTTCAAAATTCAAAATTCAAAAACTCACTGTGCCGCTAAGCAGGTTTCAAATGAGTTTTGAAATGTGACTTACAATCAATTTTGAAAAGCTTAAAGCAAACAATGGGTTGAAAATGACTCTAGAATTAAGATTCCAGAGCTATACCGAACATAGCCTAAAACTTTCTCTCTCTTTTTGGATTTTTATTTTGTTTTTTAGAGAAATTTTGAGAATAAATCTCAATATTTAAGTCTTACAATAAAATAAATTTTTAATTTTTAATTTTAATAATTTAAATTTTAAAATTTTAAATTATTTTTAATTGAAATCATTTGTTAATTTTAATTAAGTAAAATCGATGAAAAGAAAACAAGTATTTTAATCATTAACTAAATGAAAAAATATTTTAGATATTGTATGTATACTTACATTGAGTTTAATGATTAAAATAATAAAATTGATAAAAAGAAACAAGTATTTTAATCATTAACTAAATGAAAAGAATATTTTAGATATTTTATGTATACTTATATTGAGTTTAATGATTAAAATAATATTTTTTTGTCCATTTTATTTAACAAAAATGAGATTTATTTTGTTTTATGGCTAAAATCTTGGGATTTTTTTTAATTGTCCCATTTTTTAAAAAATATTACTAATTCCAAAAATTTTTAATTATGAAAGCCTATAGTGTACGCCTCTTAGAGGTGCATATGCACCATACACACTCTATTAAAAATTGGCGTAACGTTATCATAAAATTTTATAATATCGATCATAATATATGTAATTTTACCATAAATTATCTTAATAAAATGTATAAATTTTTGTGATTGATGTTACAAAATGAGGTTTTTTTTTAAGATCCTTGATATTAAGATTTTATAAGATAAAAAATATACAATATTTTCATAGTAGTTAAAGTCTCAATATTTTCATAAAGAAAATTCGACTTACAGAAATTTCGCCCGATTCAGAGAAATTTCGAGCCCAACACATCATTATGACATATGTCAATATTGATCTTATTCTAATTGTAGTAATATAATTTGAAGAAGAATTTAAATTTGAAATTTTATTTTATAATTTAATAAATGATGCATAATTTAAGACCAATTATATTGTGACATGTATTAACAAAAATTAAACAAAATAAAAAAAAAGGGAAAAAATTATAATTTTCAACTTTAATGAAATGACAACGTTTTATAATTATAATAATATATCGATATAGATACATATATACATACATACATCCTTGGCATGAATACGAAAAAAAGTAATTTCTAATTAGCTTTAAACCTTTTATAATTTGTCTGTGAAGATGGATGGTCTTATTATAGCAAAAAATTTGAAAATTGTTGTTAATGTTCTTAATATTAAGATTTTATAAAATAAAAGATATATAATATTTTCATAATAGTTAGGGTCCCTTAACATTTTCATAAAGAAAATTCGACTGAAAGAAATTTCAGCCCGACTCAAAGAAATTTCAGCCTCGACATAAAGAAATTTTGACACAAGGAAATTTTGGCACAGAGAAATTTCAAACAAATTTCAAAATATTGAGAAATTCAGAAAAATTTCTCTGTGATTATTCCAGAGAAATTTCTTTGATTGTCTTTGTGTTTTGAAATTTCTCTAATTTGCTCACTAATTTTTCTGTATTTTGACCAATTTTTTCTGGTTTCCTCACAATTTTGTTAGTATTTTGACCAAAAATAAGTGACAATTGTGATTTAAAGTATAAAAATGAATACAAATGTGAGTAAATGAAAGGGTTAGCGATTTCTGATTAACTTGATTTTTTACAAGTAAGTGATCTACTCGATATACTCTAAAATATGAACGGTTCGGATTATTAAAATGGTTCTCAAAATGGGCCCATGTTGCCGTACAACAGCAGGTATTGTGCCTCCTCACACAGCAGCCACCCCATTTCCCAAATCCACATTGATTTTTCAATTGAGTATAAGATCTTCTGGTATGAGAATCTTTTTGGGGTGTGATGTGAGTATTAAAATTTGTAGTGAATTTTGATATGAGAATCTTTTTTATTTGGAAAGTTTAAAATGTGGGATTCTTCAAATATTTCAAAAAGAGTACAAAAACTCATTAGTAAACTTTAGGCAAATGTTAGTACTGCAAATGAATCAAATTGTTCATGAACAAGCTCGGCTCGGCTCGTATCTTTTAATAAACGAGCCAAACTCAAACTTGAATATTAGGCTCGTTTTCAAGCTCGAATAAGCTCAGCTCATTTATCTTTATTCAAATAATATATAAACATATTTTCATATATTATTATTTATATATTAAATAATATAAATTAAAGAAAATTGGTAAAAAAAAATCCATTCTAACAATTTTTTAAGGCATTAAGTCTACATTTTTTTTTTTTTTTAGGTCGGGAGGTCTACACTTTGTGAAATAGTTTGGTGAGTTTGTTAAAAAGTCTTGAAAGACATTTTTGTTTTCAATTTTATCCCTTGACTTTTTTCTATCTATTTGACTTTTCGTTGACTATCTATACAAATTTATATCTATCTATTCAATCTTTTTGTCTATCTATTCAATTTTTTGTCTATCTGTTCAATTTTTTTGTGTAAATTTTCTATCTATTTAAATATTATCTGTGCAAATTTTCTATCTATCCAAATTTTACCTATCCAATTTTTTTTTTGTTCAATATTTTTATCTGTACAAATTTTTATATCTGTATAATTTTTATCTGTACAATCTTTTATTCGTCCAAACTTTTATCTATATAATTTTCATATCAGCCCTACGATCTTCACAGGCGACAGATCCAGATCTAGTGCACGTAGACTCGCGAAGTAGACTACATTTTCCCTAGAATTACATCTCGGATCCATTCATCAAAGCTCTAGCTTTGACAGCGCAAAGGTGGTGGTGAAGCTGAATCAAGAGAGAAGAGAGAGATGTCACAGAGGCTAAAGTAGAGGTCAAAGACAACAACAAAGCTAAAGTGATGTCGCGGTCAATGGTGTTCACGAAGAAGAAGATTA